GACTGCATCTTGATGTACTTTTCCTTTGGTGAATATGAAGTGTCCTTCTTCATCTCTTTTGATTGATTTTAATTTGAAGTCTAATTTTGTTAGATATTAGGATTGCTACACCCGCTTGTTTCTTGGGACCGTTTGATTGGAAGATCTTTTCCCAACCCTTTCCTCTGAGATAACGTCTGTCTTTGATGTTGAGATGTGTTTCTTGTATGCAGCAGAAGGAAGGGTTCTGTCTTCATATCCATTCTGCTAGTCTGTGTCTTTTTATAGGCAAGTTGAGGCCGTTGACATTGAGGGATATTAATGATCATTGATTGATGTTTCTTGTTTGTGCTTGATTTATTGTTAGTGAAGTTATTTTGTGTAGTTTCTCCTCCCTTTTTCTTTTGGAGTTTTGTAAAGTGTGATTATATATTGCCTGTGTCTTTGTGAATGTAGTTATCTTCCTTGGATCTAGGTTTTCCTTCTAGCAACTCTGTAGAGCTGGGTTCATGGATACGTATTGTTTAAATCTGGCTTTGTCATAGAATATTTTGTTTTCTCCATCTATGGTAATTGAGAGCTTTACTGGATATAGTAGTCTGGGCTGGCATCCTTGTTCCCTTAGCGTTTGTAGGACATCTGTCCAGGATCTTCTGGCTTTCATCGTTTCCATTGAGAAGTCAGGTGTAATTCGGATAGGTCTGCCTTTGTATGTTACTTGGCCTTTTTCTTTAGCTGCTCTTAATATTTTCTCTTTACTCTGTATGTTTGATGTTTTGATTATTATATGGCGAGGTGACTTCTTTTTCTGGTCCAGCCTATTTGGTGTTCTGTAAGATTCTTGTATTTTCATAGGCATATGTTTCTTTAGGTTAGGGAAGTTTTCTTTTATGATTTTGTTGAATATGTTTTCTGTACCTTTAAGTTGTATTTCTATGCCTTCTTCTATACCTATTATTCTCAGGTTTGGCTTCTTCACGGTGTCCCATATTTCCTGGATATTTTGTGTTAAGGAATTGTTGGTTTTGAGATTTTCTTTGGTTGATGACTCTATATCATCTAATGAGTCTTCAACACCTGAGATTCTCTCTTCTATCTCTTGTATTCTATTGGTGATACTTGCATCTGTAGTTCCTGATCGTTTACCCAGCTTTTCTATTTCCAGCATCCCTTCATTCTGTGTTTTCTTTATCGTTTCTATTTCAGCTTTCATTCCTTCAATTGTTTGAGTTGTTTCCTTCATTTTTCTGGTTGTTTTTTCTTGGTGCTCTTTAGAGTCTTGGAGAGATTTGTTTATTTCTTGAAATTTTCCCCCATTTCATGGATTTTTTGTTTGTTTTTTCTTCTATTTCTTTAAGGGATTTCCTTGTTTCTTCTTTGAGAGTCTCCATCATCTTCATGAAATACTTTTTAAGGTCTGTCTCCTCTTCTTCGTCTATGTAGTGCTTTTCGGGTCTTGCTGGTGTTGGATCCCTAGATTCTGGTGGGGTCATGTTGGTGTTTCTATTGCTGAGTGAGCTCTTTTTCTGTCTTCTTCCCATCTCTTCTTCCAGGGGGTGCTGGTGGGGTCTTTCTGTCTCCACTGGTCTTTCCTGAAGCTGAAGCTGGGGATGCTGACAGGGAGTTTGGGGCCTGGAAGGGCTGATGTCTTTCCTGAAGGTGGGCTCGCTGGAGTTTGGGGCCTGGAAGGGCTGATGTATTTCCTGCGTGGATCAGTCTTCTAGATGCCAGGAGCACCCTGGAAGATCAAGTGGATGGGTGTTGGGCAGGGGGTCCTGCCGGAGACCCAATCTCACCTGAAGCTGGACTCACTATGGTTGGGGTCTTGGAACCCTTTGAATCCATTCTGCTAGCCTGTGTCTTTTTATGGTTGAGTTAAGGCCATTTATGTTTAGGGATACTAATGACTATTGATTGCTCATTCTTAATCGATTTGGAATGGTTGGTGGTGGTGGAATTATGTGTGGAATTTCACCCCTTTTTCTTTTGGCTGTTGGTAGAGAGGGATTCTCTAATGCCTATGTTTTTCTGGTTATAGTTAATTTCCTTGGGTTGGAGTTTTCCTTCCAAAACTTTCTGTAGGGCTGGGTTAGTGAATATGTATTGCTTGAATCTAGTTTTGTCATGAAATATCTTGTTTTCTCCATCTATAGTGAGCAAAAGCTTTTCTGGATATAGTAGTCTGGGATGGCATTCATGGTCTCTTAGTGTTGGTAGAATATCTATCCAGGACCTTCTGGCTTTCAGAGTTTCCATGGAGAAGTCTGGTGTAATTCTGATAGGTCTGTCTTTATATGTTGCTTGGCCTTTTTCCTTAGCTGTTCTTAATATACTTTCTTTATTCTGTATATTTGGGGTCTTGGTTATTATGTGGAAAGGGGACTTTTTGTGGTGCACTCTATTTGGTGTTCTGTAAGCTTCTTGTACCTTCATTAGCATGTCTTTCTTAAGGCTGGGAAAGTTTTCTTCTATGATTTTGTTGAATATGTTTTCTGCCCCTTTGAGGTGTTTTCTTCTCCTACTTCTATACTTATTATTCTTAGGTTTGGTCTTTTCATGGTGTGCCATATTTCCTGGATGTTTTGTGTTAAGGATTTTTGGACTTAAGATTTTCTTTGGTTGATGAATCCATTTCTCCTAGTGTATCTTCAACACTTGAGATTCTCTCTTCCATCTCTTGTATTCTGTTGGTAATGCTTGTATCGGTAGTACCTGACCATTTGCCCAGATTTTCTATTTCCTGCCTTTCTTCAGATTGAGTTTTTTATTGTCTCTATTTCAGTGTTCAACACTTGGAGTGTTTGCATTGTTTCTTCCAATTTTCGGTTTATCTTTTCGTCCATTTGTTGCCTTTTATGAATTTTTTGGTTTGTTCTTTCCTCCACTTCTTGCATTTTTTGGTTTGCTTTTTCTTCCATTTCTTGTATTTTTTGCTTTGTTTCTTCTTCCATTTCCTGCCTTTTTTGGTTTGTTTCTTCTTCCATTTCTTGCATTTTTTGTTTGTTTCTTCTTCAATTTCCTGCCTTTTTTAGTATGTTTCTTCTTCCATTTCTTTCAATTTTTGCTTTGTTTTTCTTCCATTTCTTGCATTTTGGTTTGTTTTTTCTTCCATTTCTTTGAGGGATTTTCCTATATCCTCTGTTAGGGTCTCTATCATATTCATGAAAGTGGTTTTAAGGTCATTTTCTTCTGATTCATTTGCATTGGAATGTTGGAGTCTTGCTGGTGTGGAGTCTCTAAAATCTGGTGGTGTCATATTTGTTTTTCTGTTGCTGAGTTTGTTTTTGTGTTTTCTCTTTCCCATCTCTTCTTCTAGTTGTTGCAGAAAGAGCCCCTTACTTGTCTGGTGGATAGGGGACCAGAGTTCCAATAATCTGGTAGTTCTTCCATTCTTTGTCCTTGTTCTGGTCCTGTGGGTGGAGAAGAAGACCAGGAATCTGGGGCACTTACCCTCACACTTGGTCCCCTGGACCGTTTGCTGGATCCACTGGTTTCCTGCTCTCGTTGGTGTGAGAGAAGACCTGGAATCTGGGGTACTTGGATCCCGCCAGGATTGGAAGCTCTGTACAGTTCCCAGGCGATCCCCAGGCACTGGAACACAGGCCCAGATGCAGGGCCTGTTGTACCTGATCCTGCCGAAACAGCTGCTCCCCTGGTGTCCCTGGCTCCTCTCAGCATACCTCTTTTTCTGTCCATCTAGACAGCTATAAATCAGTAACTTTGGGCATGTAGTAATTCTGTGTCATTGGATATATGGGAATGGCTCAGATGGAATGCTTTTGCCTGGATCCTAACCACTGACCAAATAACTGTCAATAAGGAGAATTGCAGCAAGGCATATGATCTTCCACACCTAGACTATGTGCAGAGTGAGAGACCTTGAGACAGGCAGTCCTAAATAGAACATCTTCATCAAATCGCTTCCCCAAAATATCAGAGGACCATATGGAAGTAGAGGAGGAAAGGGTGTAAGAGACAGTGGAGATAGAGAACACCAGGGAAATAAGACGCTCTAAGCACAGCTGGACTAAAGCACATATGAACTCACAGAGACTGTGATGGTAGGCAGAGGGACTGTATGTGTATAGGCCAGATAGAGTCCCAATACCAAGAGAGGAAGTGAACACAAGACCCCATCCGGAACCCAGAAGTTATCTTCAGTTGACAAGTGCTCCCAAAGGAACATTTAGTTTTCTCCAATGGAGACTTACTGATTATACAAACCACTCTTAAGGTCCAGCCCCATACTCAGAAGTAGACGCCAAAACACTATAAACTCAGTGACATTTTTGGAAGTTCTTTGTGTCATAATGCTTTGTGAGGACATTTTCCCCATTTCAGATCTTTTGAATTTATATGATACGTTCCAATGCTGTTTTTTCTGGGATTTCTGTGTCTCTACATGTATCTTGTGCTTTTTCTTTGACTTTTTTTCGTTCTTTTGTCCTAGATTTTTTATTTATATTAGAAACAATCTTGTTGGGGTTTTTTTGGAACAACTCAACAAAATAAAATCCGGTTTATTGCTGAACATTGTTTCACACATACATCAAACAGGCCAAAAACATATATTAAAAATGCAACTTCACAGACAAAAAAAGGATGGAAAAAATAAGGAAGCCTTTTATCTTTGGCCTTTTTAACCATCTCATACAAACTCTGCTTAGAGTACAGGTAGGTACCTACACAAAAATGGTTATTGGAATGCTCAGAATAAGATTGTTTTGTTGTTTTAACAGGGTTTTTATTCTACTTTGAGATTATAATTAATATGGTCAAACCACAAGTAACGTTAGAAGTAAGACAGAGAACACTCTGAAGGCTCGTTTGGTCACCCGTTACTGTTAAAAATGACTGACTCCTTAACATTATGTACAAAAATGTAAACAAAAAATACAAACAAATTTTCCTTTTAGAGTGTTTTTAAGAAAAATAGCAGGGCCTTGAAAGTTTTGGTTCTTTTTTTCCTCCCCTGTTGCAAATTCATGTTGTGGTTTTGGTGGGGTGCTGGAGAGCACGTGTCATCGGTGGGTGACACTGCCCACTACGCGCAGGTGGCGCCTGCTCCCATATTCGAAGGTGACCACATTTAGATTCTGAGACGGGAAGTGGAGGGTGAAGAGGTCACGGTGGCCTCAAGTTCAGCTTTTCCTTCCTGCTGTCTAGCCATCCTCACGGTCTTCTGCTTCTCGGTGTCAACATCACCATCGTCATCATCTTCAGCCACCTTCCTGCACGTAGGAGCCTCAGCTTCCTTATCTTCCTTTCCATCCTCTTCCTCACCGTTTCCTTCTTCCCCTTCCTCCTCTTTCTCCCCATCTGATTCCTCCTCTTCATCTACCTCATCGTCAGCCTCCCGCTCCCCATTTCCCTCATTTTGAGCATTCCCGTTGGCATGTGCGTCTCTTCCATTCACTGCCTCCTCCACAACTTCCTTCTTCTCCTTCAGGTCCTTGGTGGTGACCTCGGAGCTGGTGTCGAGGGCCACCTCTGACATGGAGGGGGGAGCACGCAGGTATCTGATGCTGCAGCAAGTGAGGAAAGAAGGTCCAGGACTCTGGAGAAAAAGCTGCCAGAGCCCGCCCCAATGGAGGAGGGGGCAGAGGGTGGCTGCAGTGAGCAGAGAGCAGGACCAGGAACAATGCAAAGACAGCTTTCAGAGCAGCAAGTCTAGAAACAATCTTATTCTACACCAGCATCCCGGTTCCCCCTCCCTCACATCCTCCCATGCCACCAAACACCCATCCCACTTCTGCTCCTTGGTGAGGCCTTCCATTGGCGATCATAAAAGTCTGTCACATCATTTGGGACAGGGCCCAGGCCCTCCCCCATGATTCTAGGCTGAGAGAGTATCCCCCTATGGGGAATGGGCTCCCAAAGTCCATTCATGCACTAGCGATGAATACTTTGACCCTTGTTTTTATTAACTTGTTTGTCCTACTTGTTTGATTTTGTTCTGTCTTGTAATTATTTTATACTTGTGTTTTTTTTTTGACAAGAGAAACAAAGGGTGGGGATTTGGATGAAAGAGCAGATAAGAGGATGTTGGGGAAGTTCTGTGTATATGTCAATAAATTACTGCTGGCCAATAGGAATCTAGATAGGTGGGGCTAGGAGTCCAGGAGGATTCTGGGAAGGAGAAACACAGGAGAGTTCGAGATGTAATGCCCAGAAAAAAAACCAACAAGGTTCTTTTAAGAGACTCTGCTAACGATTGAAAGGTGTGTACGTACAGCTGGAAGTGACAGCTTTTGCTGGATGTCAGCATGGACTGAGGCGGTAAGCTGCAATCACGCTTGAAAAAAAGGCAGTTTAAACTGCCGCGGTTTTACAGATAAGACACATGGCCAGAAAAACATAAAGATTTACTGTAAAGTCAGACTTGGATAAAGGAAAGCCTCTAAAGGTTTACAGTGTGTTTAAAAATATACGTGAGACTGAAAGAGAAAATGAAATGACAAAGTGGTAAATAAATACAAAAGCTGGCGTTGTGGTGGCACACGCCGGTAAGATTTACTCCAGAGGCAGAGGCAGGTGGATTTCCAAAGAGAAACCCTGTCTCAGAGAAAAATAAATAAAAGTAAACTAAATAAAGTAATAATAGATAAATAAATAAGCCAGGTAAAGATGGAAAATACACAGAGAGTCTGGATACTGTACTCTATTGTGTTTTTCAGTTTTTTCATTGCTAAGGAAGGAACAAATGCTAAAGTACACTTGATTATAAATGCTGCTGAATTAATTCAACTTATATCTTTTGAAAATGCCTTGACTTCAAAATTTAAGTATAAGGATATGTTACTTGGGAAAGGAGGAGGCCCGGAATTTTCTCCGGTAAGAGACATACTTAGATTAACACTTATGGGGTAATTACTTAAGTCAAAGCTAGCCAGTAAGAAACAAGTAAGGCCAACAGCTTCATAACTAATATAGCCTCCTGTGTGTTTATTTGGGACTGATGCGGGTCTAGAACCAGGCTGGCGGAAAGGCTTTTCTCAAAGAAAAAGCTTCTCTTAACAGGAGGACATTGAAGGAGATTAGGGATAAGGAACCGTAGTCAGAATACATTGCATAAAAGCCTATTTTCAATTTAAGAAAAAATAAAAATGTTGTAGCATGCATATATGCCTTGGTCCAGCTGGGACCAAACGTGGAGCGGAGACCTGTGATGAATGAAAATATTGGAACAGGAGGCGGGAGAGAAAAGACCACAAGACAGGATGCGATCAAGTGGCAATTTTACTTTTTGCTGGGCTAGCTATGTAGTCGGTTGAGCAGGTTTGGAGGGGGTAGGTATTGGGGGTAGTTGGCATGTAGCTGCAAGGAAGGCTGGATGTTAGAAGACAAGAGAAGGAGGATGCTTGGCAGGGTGCAAAAGGTGCAAGAAAGGTTGCCTTGGTAACTGTGCCTCGTGGGTTTAGCCTCTGGGGTTGAGCATGATAGGGGAGGTTTATTCCTTGTTAAGGGCAACTCTAAGGTTTCTAGGAACTGGCTGTGTAACTGTTCTAATTAGCTTGGTCCTGTGGCCAGAAGTTCTATATGTCTTAGTTGGCAATCTTAGACTGGTTAACAACTCATATATGTACATGCATATACATACATATTCCTAAATACATCCTGCCTAGTCTCTATACTATCACTTATATGTGAGTTTTAAGGAAGACCATTTGGCATTGGGTAACCATTTGGTCACCAGCTCATTCCTGGAAAGACTGTTTCTACCATTCTCGGCATCTCATAGTTGTCTTTAGGTCTCTGTGTAGAGCTGAAGCCTCACTGTCTTTCCCTCCTCACTTTCCTATGTCCACTGTTATTGTGCTTGTTCTGCTCAGGTTTAGATGGTCATCTTGGTGAAACTTTACGGGGATAACTCTGAGCATGAGTAGGAGACAAAATCTCACAGAAAATTCCCTTATCCACTGGCTCTTGAAAACTTTCTGACACCTCTTTTGCAATGCTCCCTGTGCTCAAGTGTGGGAACTGTGTTGGGTTTTTAACCAATGGGACCGGGCTGCACACCTCTGCAACTTGTTTTGTTGTGGTTTTCTATAATGGTCTTCTGCTGCTGCAAAAAGAATTTTCCTTGATGATGGGTAAGGAGTACACTTAGTTCTTAAGATTTGGGGCAAGGAGCATCTGATGGGAAAGATCACATGGTATTTGTGTTTCTGAGTCTGAGTCACTTCACTCAATATACTGGATTACACATCAGAAGAGGTGTGCCCACATACTTCTAATGACCACGATTTTAAGATAATTTACAATTAGATTTACTCATTTCACTTTTTATGTGTTTTGTCTTCATGTATGTCTTTACAGAAGAGGGCATCAGATCTCCAGGAACTGGAATTATGGATGGCTGTGAACCACCACGTAGGTTGTGGAAGTTGAACCTTAGATATCTGTTAGAACAACGAGTCCTATTACCCACTGAGCTAAAAGTCCAGTCCCTTTCCCCACACGCTTTTGCTGTTACTGTTGTCGTAAGTCTCCTGTAAACTTTTCCCCTTTGGACTTTCATGTCTCTGCTTTTGTTTTTGTTTTGTTTTCATCCCTGTAGTTAGAAACAAAGTGTATGGAGAAAGAGGTGTGTCACACTACCAAGATGACATAAATGTGAGGGAATCTTCCAGCAATAAAAAATGGAGAAATGGAAGAACAAACAGAGCCAGACAGCTCCCCAGTTAACCCCATGGTGGCAGGATTAGATGACAAAAGACATTTATCAGTATCTTTTAATCCTCATCAATAGTCATGAGGACCACAACTGATCTGTAGTTCTCTTTCTCAGTTGACTAAGCAATAGGAGAGACCAACTTAATTGCCTATCCCTGATAATGAGATTGACGACTACCTTGTATGACATCCTAGAACCTTCATCCAGTAGCTGATGGAAGCAGAGACAGACACCCGCAGCTAAACACTGAACTGAACTCCTGGAACACAGTTGCAGAGAGGGAGGAGTGATGAGCAAAGGGGTCAAGACTGGGTGGTTGAAACCCACAGAGACAGCTGACCTGAACAAGGGGGAGATCATGGACTCCAGATTGATGGCTGGGAGGTCAGCATGGGACTGACCCAGACCCCCTGAATGTGAGTGTCAGTGAGGTGGCCTGGACAATCTATTGGGCTTGGGCAGTAGATTAGTATATATCCCTGGCATACAAATGAACTTTGAGTGCTAATCCCACAATGAGAATGCTGTCTCATCGTGGAATCTTGGGGGAGGGCCTAGGCCCTGCCCTGAATGAAATGACACACATTGGAGATCTCAATTTAGATGGGAAACATTCCTTTTCTCTGCATTTCTAGCATTTGCTTTCCTTGCATTTGGACCTTTATTTCCCAGATCCTTGTCCACCCTCATTAGTCTGGTTTACGATTGCGAACAATTAGTCTTCTGCATGTGTTTTTCTTTGTTTCTCCTTACACAGACCTTTGGGGCCTCTCTCAATAACTCTTTCAGCTTCCTTCCCTTTAGTCAGGAAGGGTGTTTTTTCCTCACCCTTTTAATATGTGTGACCAACTGGGGAGTTACAAAGTGTAATTTTAGCATCCCTTACATAATGTCTAACTCCAATACTTTTTCATCTGATCCTTTAGCATTTCTAGGACCATTATGGGGCTTTTTCTTATTGTCCATTAAGGCTTCTTTCATTCTGGTCTGCATTTTGAAGAAGCTACTGACTTAACCACTGTAGGTTCATGATATCTCTCCAGGCCAATGTGGAAGAAACTGGTCAGGATACCCTGCATCCCCACATAGGCTTGAACACTTTATTCTTTGGACGCTCTACTACTTCCTTGCTGGACAGCTTTATGTCGACTTGACACAAGCTAGTGTATTGGGAAGAGGGAATCCCAACTGAGAAAAATTGCCCCCACCGGATTAGCATCTGGAAAGTCTGTAGGGTATTTTCTCGATAGATAGCTGGTGTGGGAGGAGGCAGCTCACAGTGACAGCTGCCAGCACTGGGTCATCAAGCATGAGTTGTGTAAGAAAACGAACTGAGCGAGAAGAGAGGAGGAAGCCAGCAAGCGACACTTTATCAGGTCTCCACTTCAGCGCCTGCCTCCAAGTTCCTGCCTTTAGTTCCTCCCTGATGTCCCTGGATGGTGGGCTACAAGTTGTAAGACTCAATAAACCCTTTCCTTCCCAAAGTATACTTGACCATGGTGTTTTATCACAACAGCAAAAATTACTATTGGATGATCCCTCGGAGGACCATCCCACCAAAATTATGGCCAATCTATTATTTTGCCTGTCCAGAATATTTCAAGGAGACATAATAATAACATAATCTCCCAAATAACCATTTTTTGTCTCACTATGTTTTCTAGGGAGTGAGTTTACTTTGTCTTGTATCCATTTGCTCCTCCTACAAGATGACAACAACACAAAATAGAGGGATGTAGACTCTTGATCTGCAGTTAGTAGTTGCCTATCACCCACCCTATTTACTTGTACACATTCAATGTTTACCATTCCATCCACACCCTGGAGTCTGTAGAGCTCTGCGTTACCCCTACACATGAGACTACTAAAGGCTTTTGGGGTTCTAGAAAGGGATGGAACTGAACTTCTACCCTTTTAGGTAGTCTGACCAAAGCTAAAATAAATGTATGTTCTCAGCAATCAGATAGGCATCAGCCCTGAACTGACTCCTGAGACTGAGATCTGTTGTGCTTCTGTGGTTCTTGCCTGAGGATGCCAGGAAGACTTATGTATTGTTGAGTCTACTGCCACCAGGTGAATCCACTGTCCTACATCACACACACACACACACACACAGAGAGAGAGAGAGAGAGAGAGAGAGAGAGAGAGAGAGAGAGAAAGAGAGAAAGAGAGAAAGAGAGAGAGAGAGAGAGAGATATGTTTACTATCTGTGGAAGGAAACCCCAAGAAATGGTGCAGAATTTATGAAGAGAGAAATAGGACCCAGGTGATCTTTATCATGAAGCACCCTTTATTATGTTCTAGCACACTCTCTGTGGGATTGGTCCTCAGATCCAGGGAGTCAAGTATATAGAACAGAACTTTTACAATCTTCATCTTCTTTGTCTCCATACAGAGTGAACTACATTATGGTTGGCTATTTCCTAGGGAGTGGGGTTTAAAGCTGGAATGGAGAGGAAGAGGCAGGAAAGGTGGTCGCAGAAGAGAAGGGGTATGGCTGCACCTACAGTCAACACACTGACCAGCTTACAGTCTGCTTCCTGTTTTTCCTGTTGGGTCTTGGTAACCCCTACCATGGGACCTTTAATCCGGATGTTCTTAACCTTGCTGTCTTCTCTCCAATCACACACCACCTTCCTGCTGCAGGTCTTTGCCCCTGCTGTGTCCCTTGGCTGCAGGTCCAGGTCTTTTAGATGTCTCTGTGGACCTTTACAGTCCCTCTTCCCCTCAGATGGCACATTTCAGTCATGCCTCGTGGTTCACAGGGTGTTCATTGCCGTAAGTACTCTACCCCTTGCTCTGCTTTGTACTGCATACATTGTGCATTTATTGCCATGTTGTCTCTTCATAGCTAGTGAGTTTGCTCTTTGCTCTAACTGTAACCCCTGAAGAGAGCCTGGTCTAGACGCTGTTTCTTATGACAGCTGGGTGAGTGAGTGAACAGAGGTATTGGGAGCATCTGACCTCATTTACACATGTGATCTTCTGAGATTCCCAGGAGCATGGTAACAAACAGACAGATGCCAAGAAGCCAGAAATGGCAAGTAAGGAGGAGCAATGTGGTCCAGGGAAAACCAGAAGAGTGAGGCCACAGCACACAGGAGGCAGGTGCTTGCAGAAGGCAGGGGTTAACTCTGGATGTTGCTAAACCACAAGAGAGAACAATAAAAGGTCCTCTAGGCAAATTTGGACTCCAAGTCTTCTAACTACAGATGGAGACAGGGACTTCATCCATTGGTCAAGATCCCCATCATCCTCAGGCTGTGTGTGAAGCATAAGATGGGAAGAAAAGCCCAGGTCTGTGGTGACATCCTGGGTCCACAGGGAAGGTTTGTTTCCTCAGAGTTTGGTCCCCAGAACCTCTCCAGTAGCCCTGTGAACTGAGACCTTGGACATCTCTCTCTCTCCAGGATTTTCTTTCTCTTGCACAGGTTTGCTTCATGGATAGCAGGAGCTGAAATCAATCTGTGGAGACAAAATGATGTTTTCTGGAAGTGAACCCTGTCAGGCAGGTGTGAGTTGTATCTATGGTCTGGAGTTACCTCTTCTGAGTACCTCTGTCCCTAGTCACTTGTTCTGCAAGTAGTTGTAAACTAATGGTCTCTCTCTGGACTGAAAGACAGGGAACATTGTTAGATAAAATGATGCAGTTCCCTTAAGCCCAGGCATCTACAAAGAAAAAAAGAGGACATTTACATCTCATGGGATAAGTTCCAGTAGATAGAAAATTATACAGAATACTTGACATCTGTACAGCTACTGAGACCACATTTTTTCATTTCAGATTTTACACAATTGCTTTTTAAGTTCATCTGTCCCCGTCTGGATGGTTTCCCTGGTCTTAGTGACCTGGTCCCTGATTAGATGGAACATAGGGAAATCCACCAACTTCTGAGACCCTTTTCACCTATGTTTAAACCCGCTCATCCTTTTTCCTGCATTTATCTTGATGCTTACATTGGAGAAGGAGGAGGTTGAGAAGAAAAAGCAACAGAAGTAAAGTCACAGCTATCACAAAGAGAACCTTCAGGTGCCTTTCAACTCCTAGGGAAAGGTAACATCATGAATAAGGAACCATGCTACCTGCTTGAATACCTACTGTGTGCAACACCTGTGCTGCTGGGTCTCTGCACTCATTACCTGCCCTTGTTACAATCATAAAATAAGGGTTCATTCCTCCCACAGAAAGCCAGATCACCTGGTGGAAGTGGCAAATCTGGGGTTTGAAGGGAGGGAATCTAACTTCTGACATTGCACCTTACACCAAAGATGAATCCCATGAACTAGACGGAACTAGCCTGAATTCCCTGCTATGACTCTGGTCTAGGCCTTTTCACAAACTCTGTGACTTTGTAAGAAGGGACAGCCCCAATGCAGAATCAGGTTCTGGAAGTGTCCTATGTCAGGGGAGATCCCAGCTTAGGCCACTGCTGAAGTGACTTAAAAATGTGGAACGGGCTTGTGTCCTTCAGAGTTGGCCTCTAACAGATGGCCTCCCATGTGCCTTCTATGGTGCCACACCCCAGGTGTTCAACCACAGCAGAAGCAACTTAGTGATAAAGCAAAGCACCAGAAACCTGATTGCATTTAAGGGACCCTCTCCACTATCGCTTCAATTCTTAGTTGTGGTCATTCATACGGATCTCTGGATGTTTCCCTAGTGCCAGATTTCTCTTTAAGCCTATGATGGCTCCCTATAATAAGGTATCCCATGTCTTTCTCTCCTCTGTTCATCCCCAGACTCAATCGTCCTGATGCTTCGTGTTCTCCTCCCCCTGCTCTTCTCCCCTCCTCTTTCTCCTACTTCCTTCCCCCTCCCCATCCTCCCACTTTCTTCAGGAGCTGTTGTCCCTTTCCCCTTCTCAGGGGGAACATGTCTCTCTTAGGGTCCTCCTTGTTTCCTAGCTTCTCTCAAGGTGTAGATTGTAGGCTGATTATCCTTGCTTTATGTCTAATATCCACATATGAGGGAGTGCATACCAGGTTGGTCTTTCTATGACTGTGTTACCTCACTCAAGATATTTTCTTCTAGTTCTATCCATTTGCCTGAAAATTTCAAGATTCCATTGTCTTTTTCTGCTGAGCTTCCTCTATAATGAGACTGATGACTACCTTAAGAACCATCCTAGAGCCTTAATCCAGTAGCTTATGGAAGCAGAAGCAGCGATCCACAGCTAAACACTGAGCTGAACACCTGGAATCCAGTTGTAGAGAGGGAGGATTGATGAGCAAAGGGATCAAGACCATGCTGGGGAAACCCATAGAAAGAGCTGACCTGAACAAATGGGAGTTCATGGACCACAGTTAGAAAGCTGGGAAACTAGCGAAGGATCAAACCAAACCTCAGTACATGGATGACAGGAGGCCTGGGCCATCTATGGGGCTTCTGCCAGTGGAAAGAGTATTTATCCCTAGTGCATGAATAAATTTTGGGGGTCCATTCACAATGGTGCGATATTCTCTCAGCCTAGATACATGGAGGTGGGCCTGGGCCCTGACCCAAATGATGTGATAGATACACCATGGACTCTCTGGGGAAGGAGATGGGGGTGAGATGAGGGTGTGTTGGTGGGGACATGGGAAGTTGGAAGGGAGAGGGAACGAGGATTGATATGGAAAATAAGATAGCTTTTAATTTAAATTTTTTTAAATGTTTTAAAAAGAAACCTGATTGCATATTTATCCTCCAATCATTGCCTCCAGGACACATTATTCATGGTTTATTCTCCAATAATTACAGTCACTGAAACCACAGCTGAATGAAATCTACGTGGTGTCCACTGGTGTCCAACCACCCGAGGACAGTTCTTGCTGCTCATGGTGGGAAGAAAGAGCCTCTCTGTCTAGGCTCAGTCTCAACTTGGGTAGGATATATGTGCCTGGGTCTTCAAATGGGGATTTTCCAGTGTTTGTGTGATTCCCCGTTTGGGTACTTTGTGTGTGTGTCTGTTAGGGACCTTGAGTGATTTCCTGTCTATTTCCCCGTGGATGCAGATTTCAGATGGTCTTGGTGTAAATCATGAGAAATCTCTGGGGCTGAAGGCCTTGTGCGGTGTTTGTGAAGGCTTCTTAGCTCACGACAACTTCCTGAACCCTCCTGGGTTGTCAGTGACTTTAAAAATCTGCCTTTCTTGCAGCCACAGTGGACATCACCTGGAAATGAGGTGGAGAAGCTCCTGACCCTTCTCTAGTAGACTAGGGCTTTTCCATTCTCATGGTGTGCTTCTGGTGTTCACAAATGGCTCAGACAATAAGATCTTCCCAGTGCTTCTTTTTAATTAAGTTTTCATGTGTTGTACTTCTAGTGGCTTTGATACATGCATTATCTTCCTGTTAAAAGTTGCCTGCAGATTTTCTAATTATAATATTAAGCTGTTTGTAAATAAAGGCATTTTTTCTTACACTATGCTTAATAGTTACAACAGCTTAATTGAATTGTGGCCGTCACCACTATTACTAGCCTTGTCATCTTTATACCTTTATGAATTGTTCTAGGGCAATGTGCAGTACACATATGGCATAGAAAATATGTCCCTTTATGCAACAGAAGAATATTTTAGACAGATTCTTTGTAAATCCATTTGCAATGCATGAGCACTGGTCCCAGCTTTAATATTTATAAAGGCATCTTAAATTTCATCACATTCTCACCCTCCATAACATATTTCCCTTTAACTTTTTCTGGATGGAACATATCAGGTGGATGCTTGAAATTCTTAAACCAACCTTGATTCATAGAACAAACCCATGTTTCTCATATCTGTCATTGCTCTTACATGACAGGGTATGTTCCCTGCTAAATATTTAGTCTAGGACATTATCTCTAATGTCTTCGGAGGTCCTGAGCTGTCCTGGTCCTCTCATGTAAGGAGATACTGAGGTTTTGGACTGACATGGCTGGGGAAGTTTCAGCTACTATTTTTGTGAAACTTTGTGAAGGGAAAGGAACCCATTTGAGGCAGCCAGTCCTGCCCCGCCCCACCCCCGACATACAGCCCCTGCTATGTTGTTACCAAGGAAAAGCCATTCTCTACACCTCTGTGGCCTAAAACCTCTCAGACCAAGCCAGACACTTCCTCTGTAGCTGTGTGGCCTCTGCTCCCTTCCCCCAAGCTCCAGAGTTACCCCTAGCTCTCCTCACACTCTAAGGGTCCCAGAAACAACCACCACATCCCCCACACTCATGCACCCATCCCCCCGGTTGCATCTATCTTTGCTGATTACAAAAAATCTTGTTGCTTACAGCTGTTAACAACAGCCCGTGCTTTTCTTTCTCTGAAACCCCACCGCTGTCCTTTTCAGATTCCCGCTCTCTGCCTTCCTCTGGCAACCCCTCCAACACTCCTTAAGAACCTGTAACCCAAACAAATCCAGCATCACCATCTGCTGCAGGCCCTGCCAATGTCCTTTCCCAGGACATCCATAGCTCCTTGTCCCTTGCTCCATGGCAGCCTCTGTGGTCAAGGGCAGACACAACTTTTTCCTGCCACCTTCCCGGTCTAACCCTTTCCTGTTCTGAAACTCCTCCTGAGGCTTACACAAACACAGGATCCCAAGATCTCTTATATGTTAACTCCGTTCTATATTTCCAAAACTTCCCTTCAGCAAAATTTCATCTCCCACCCTCTGTCCTCCTGATACTACCCCGAAAAGACCAGCCTCTGCCTCATTGCAGTTACTCGGAATAGCAGCGCCCTCCTGTCCCAAAATCAATTCCCCACCCATGCTCCCAGCACACTAGTCCTCTTGTCTGCCACAGACTCCTCCATCCTCCCTTCCTAAAGCCAAATTCTACACTTTTAATTACTTTATGACCCTTCTTATCTCATACATCCTTCCTCCAGGGTCCTGGCCACATCCCCAACTTAGTGACCCTTTCCTGTCCTTACACTGCCTAGAGCTAAAACTCAGTCATTCAAAACAAACACTAATATTCTGTAATGACAAAGCTTTACTACATTCATGGTTACAGAAACAACCTTATTTAGCTTCCTATTTATCAGATACACTTAGTAGATACTTTCTCCTGAAACTCTTCAGATATCTGCTGAATATGACTTTAAGCAGTTAAACCTAATGGTTTCAAATACACATCCAAGAACAGTGCTTTCCCAAACTCCTTAACTACACATCTGTACCTACTCTACCTGTCACAACAGATTTCAAACAAATTGCAGACTGCTCCAAAAATTCCAGGACAAATCAGAGAGAACCTGAACATCAACCTACAAAGCCTGCTTTTCCAAGTCTCAAACAACATGGTACCCGGCTTCCTTGGGTCCCATAACAACTATGCCACCCCAGCACCAACAGGAAGCAGTCAGAGAGAATTGTACCCACTTACCCAACACCTGGCCACCCAATAATAAAACAAAAAGTGGGAATGAAGGGACACTAGGGCTCTGATAGGCCTTGGTCTTCTCCCCATTTCCCTCTGCCTTGTTAAACCTGTTAAATTACATTGTTAAAGCAGGCTAGCAAGGTCCATTCCATTCCCTTATCTGGATAATCCCTCCTCCTGAGGCTGACTGTCAAGGTCCAGCTATCGAAGTATTAAAAATCCAGTAATCAAAACCCCCCTTGACTCACTTAATTAACATGCCAAATTAAAATTAAACATGAGGTTTCCTCTTGTAGCTTTATAAACTACCCACTTTTCTAGATGCCACAATCTGTCTCCTCCATCCAGAAGCAGTCCTCCTTCCCCAGGACAAACATCACTTTCCCCTTTCCCTAGCTATCACCTCTTTCTCCGTTGTCCTCCATCTCCTGTCTTTGTCCCTTTTCCCTGCCCTCTGTCCCTCTGGAGAAAATAACCCTGATGCTCCAATACCATCATTGAAAGTTCTATGAACTACCGAAACCATGGTGTGCAAATTTTGCAGTTCCCATCCTTCTATATAGCAGCACCATGTCCCCTGTAATCAGCACCCTTCCCTTTCTGTAAAAAAAGCACTACGTTACCAATATAAAATCCATCAGAAGAGAGTATGCATGTTACATCCTTTTGCTGCAAGAAATAAGTGAGCAGAAGGAATGAAAACTATGTTGATGGGCACGTTAGATTGACTGTGACAGTGAATTCATATGGTAGGTGATTATAAACTCATCAAAACACACATCTCAAGCACATACACTTCTACTTAGCAGTGTTTCATCTAAGATCAGGAAGAGGTTTTTGTTGTCATTTTTTTACCATTCTGTATGACCACATATCTTACAATATCTTTCATTGCAAATTTCAGTTTATATGTGAACTGTTTTATCAAATTTGAATAAAACCTAAGAATAGAAACATTTCAAAAGTTAAATATAATTATACTGTACCCGTCTACTCTCCTCCCTCCAAACACTACCAAGTCCCTCTCAAATTGATGGCCTCTAAACACAATCTACTCATTCCATTTCATGTTGTTTCTTTGGTCATGATTTCAGGGCTCACCAGTCAGTGTTGAATGGTAAACAGAAGGCCATCCCTGGGAAAGATTGATTCTTTCTCCCAACATTCCTTAGTTGCCTGTTCTTCTTTGTCTAGGGGAGGTGCCCTGTGATAGTTCCTCCTGCTCCATCGCATATCTACTGGAGCTATCCTAGCTCAGGTCCTTTTTAGGCAGATAGATTGTTGGAGTGTCATGGATTTAGCTTCCCTGCAATTCGTAGGTGACATGATCTCCCAGAAAAGGTTATTTCTGGGTCTTCTGGCACTTACAATCTTCCTATCTCTGATTCTTCACTGTTCCTTGAGCCTTAGGTGCGGAAGTGGTGTTCGGGAGGGAGCAGTTGACACTGAACAAACCGCAATCAGTTTTTCTCTGCAAGTTGACCACCTGTAGATTTCTGTAATAGTCTCTGGTTCCTGCAAAGGGAAGCTTCCAAAACTTACAAAGAACTCAAGAAACTAGTCTCCACAACACCAAATAATTCAATTAAAATGTGGGGTACAGAACTAAATAGAGAATTCTCAGGAGTCTAAAATGGCTGACAGACACTTAAGAAAGTGCTCAACATCCCTAGCCATCATGTAAATGCAAATCAAAACAACTCTGAGATATAATCTCACTCCTGTCAGAATGGCTAAAATCAAAAACACCAATTACAGTTTATTGTGGAAGGGATGTGGAGAAAGGAGAACACTCCTCCACTGCCGGTAGCAGTGCCAACAAATACAACCACTTTGGAAATCAGTAAGGAGATTCCTCAGGAAAATGGAACAAGACCCAGAAATTCCACTCTTAGGCATATACCCAAAAGATGCACATTTATACAATAAGGATGTCAGTTCCACTATGTTCATAGCACTATTATTTGTAATGCCAGAACCTGGAAGCAGCCTAGATGCCCCTCAACTGAGGACTGGATAGAGAAAATGTGGTACTTTTACAGAATGGAGTACTATTCAGCAGAAAAAAAGAAAACAATGGAATCTTCAAATTTGCTGGCAAATGGATGGCACTAAAAGAAATCATCCTGAGTGAGGTAACCCACTCACATAAAGACAAGCATGGTATGTACTCAATAATATATGGAATGTAGGCATGAATCTGGGGATTTCCCGCCTATAATCCAATAGCTAGAGAGTCTGGGAAACAGGGAGGACCCTAAGAGCGATATTAATGGTAACCTAGAGAAGGGGAACAGGACGGAATCTTCTGAGGAGACTGGGAGCATTGGGGAAGGGTGAAGAAGCAGGGAGAAAGAGAGGGGTGAAGAGGAGGGGAGAGGAGGACATGGGGGAGCAGAAAATTTGAGTCGGGAAAGAATAAAGGAGAGAAGGATGAGAGCTACCATAAGAGAAGGAGCCATTATAAGTTTAAAGAAAGATCTGGCACTAGTGAGATGTCCAGAGGCCAACAAGGATGACACCAGCTGGCAAGCTAACCAATAGTGGAGAGGCCACCTTAAGTGCCCTTCCCTAATAACGAGATTGATGACTTCCTTGTATGTCATCCTACAGCCTTCATCCAGTGCCTGATGGAAGCAGAGGCAGACACCCACAGCTAAACACTGCACTGAACTCTTGGAACCCAGTTGCAGAGGGGGAGGAGTGATGAGCAAAGGGGTTAAGACATGGTGGGTGAAAACCACAGAAAGAGCTGACCTGAACAAATGTTAGCTCATAGACCCCAGACTGATAGCTGAGAGGCCAGCATGGGACTGATCCAGACCTCCTGAACGTGGGTGTCAGTGAGGAGGCCTCAGCATTCTTTGGGACCTCGGGCAATACTTCAGGAGTTATCCCTCTCATCCAGTTGGACTTTGGGACTCCATTCCATGTGGAGGGATGATGTCTCCACCTGGACAAATGGGGGAGGGCCCAAGCCATGCCATGGATCATATGACAGATTTTGGAGATCCCCCATTAAGGGCCTCACGCTCCTTGAGAGTGGAGTGGGGTTTGGAGAGGGTTGAAGGGAGGCAGGAGAGGAAGGGAAGGACAGGGACCTGGGATTACATGTGAAGTAAACTTGTTTCTAATTTAAATTGAAAAAAATCAGGAAAAAAATCTTATCCTCTGACCTCCTTGCATGTGCTGTGACATATGCAAATGTATATGGATAAAGAAAAAGTAAATGTAATTTATTATTATTAAATAAGTGTAATTTAAAGAAGTAAGTGCAAATTACTAAATAAGTATCATTTAAATTTGTACAGAAATTACACACATTAAAAAAACAGAAAAAGTAGTGTACATGTGGTTGGTTTGGCTTTTTAAAATGTGTTTATTTTTATTTATAGTGTTTCACCTGGATGTACACCTGCCCAGCAGAAGAGGGAACCATATCTCATTACAAATAGTTGTGAGCCACCATGTGGTTGCTGGGAAATAGCAACTTCTGGAAGAGCAGCCAGAGCTCTTAACCTCTGAACCACCTCTCCAGTCCTTAGTGCAAACTTGTTACCCAACAAGGAGACTATGAGGAAGTGGTTTACACGTTTTGTTGCATGCAGATGTGGACAGTGAGATCCTTCACAGAAATCTTGTATATGAGGAGGTATTTCACATAAAAAATGTGTAAAGGAATAAAGCAAGCCAACATGAAAACTTGTATTTCTTATGCGTAATATTCACTCATTTGTGCTACCATTTTGTCCTGAAAAGAGGATACATGAGACAGACACTGATGAGATTTGGGGAATGACAGGCATTAAATATCCATGGAGTCTACTGCTTGACCTAGACACAGTCTTGGGGAAGTCAGAGCCTGGTGCCTGAGGAGGGCAGTTCCCCTTCCTGTGAGGCTGCTGAAGTACAACCCTGTCATAGGGAGGGCACTGCCTCCAGAGGCCACACCCTGTGTCTCCTGTCCCTTAGACAGTCTCTGTAGCTCTGTCCACAAGCACAGCTGCAGCCTCCAGGAGGAGATGCCATGACCTTCACCTTCACAGCTCTGCTCTGTCTGGGTGAGATGTGGTGAGGGGGAGGGGACGCTGTGCTCTGGGATTGATGCTGCCCCACAGCCCAGCACTGCTCAGTTGGGAAACCCCAGGCTCTCAGGAGGTTCTGCAGAGGGGAGGACCTTCTCAAGATTCAGGGACAAACCTCTCACAGGGAACTCTCTTCCAGGACTGAGTCTGCGACATGGGACACCAGGGATGGCAGGTGAGTGAGTGAGTGTCTGCAGATGTCCTGGCATCACTTCTCATCATTCCGGGAGCCAGGCTGGGCAGGGAGGATGGAAACCAGCACATGAGTGCTGACCCTGGGGCAGGAAGGAGGGTTGGTGTCAGGTGCTGCAATCTGAGGGTTTGCCCTGCGTCCTAGCTGATCTTTTCCTTGCAGGAACTCTCAAACCTATCCTCAGTGTACAGCCAGACTCTGTGGTCTCTGTACAGACTACAGTGACATTCTTATGTAAGGGGACCACAGGAGCCCAAGAATACCGTCTGTACAAAAATGGAAAATCCAGGCTCCAACAGATTCCTCCAAATCCTAAGAACAAGGCTGAATTCTCCATCTCAAAAATAAGCTCTCAAGAAGCAGGGCAATATACCTGTCAATATTGGACCTATGGAGGATGGTCACAGCAGAGTAATTCCCTGAAGCTGGTGGTGACAGGTGAGAGGACTCACAGAGTCCACAGCATCAGGCTTCACTGTCAAGAAGTGGTTCTGTGCACAGGGATGACTCCTCCTCCCATCCCTGGAGGATAATGAGTTCTTTGAGGACACTAAACTGATTCCTCCTTCTCTACAAGGGGCCTACAGTAAACCCAGACTCTCAGCCCAGCCAAGCCCTGTGGTGACTGAAGGAGGGAAAGTCAACCTGCGGTGTGAATCAAATCAATGGTATCACAAGTTCATTCTGACTAAGGAAGGACCACAGAAGCAATCCTGGACACTGGACTCAAAGTATGACCATAACACTCAGCAGTACTATGCCCTGGGCCATGTGGGTCCTGTGACCTCCAACCAAAGGTGGACATTCAGATGTTACAGCTTTGACAATAACCAACCACTGGTGTGGTCAGAACCTAGTGACCCCCTGGAGCTCCTGTTCTCAGGTGAGGAACCCCAGCCTTTCCCTAGAATGATGTTGAAATGACACAGGTGCTGAGGGTGGTCTCAGTGTGTGTGTGTGTGTGTGTGTGTGTGTGTGTGTGTGTGTGTGTGTGTGTGTGTGTGTGTGTGAGAGAGAGAGGAGAGAGGAGCCAGGGCTCCTGAGACCAGAGACACAGATCGTGGTAGACAGAGGGACACAGTATACAGAATCCAGGGGACACAGTGACAGCAGAGTCTAGGAGGTCCAGGACAGACAGGAATCTTCATGGATCCCTCTGTTACTCTGGATCAGATTAAATAACATCTACAAGAACTCAGACAGAAAGGAAGTGCCACACAGCCCTCAGGACACCAGGAGAACACAGAACTCAGGATCAACTCAGCGGGACCATGAGGGCTCCCAGAGACTAAAGCAGCAATCAAGGCACAGGCATGGGTTTTCCCTAAGCCCTCTGCACACATGCTGTGCTGATTTACCCTGGGTTCTTTTTATTTTTGTTTTCTGAGGTTCACTGTGTCTTGACCTCACTCTGTAGACCAGGCTGGCCTTGAACTCACGCATATCTTCCTGTGCTTGGCTCCTGTGTACTAGGATTAAAGGCATGCACACCCACAGCCAGACTAGCCTTTTTGTTAGACTCATAGCAATAGGAGTCTGGAAGTCTCTGACTCTCTTGCCTACACGGGGGACATTTTTCCTCCTACTGGGTTGCCTTCTCCAGTCTTAATAGGAGAGGTTTTGAATATTACTGCATGTTGTTATGTCATGTTCCATTAATATCCGGGGAAACCCTGAACTGTTCTGAAGGGAAACAGAGGAGAGGCGGATCTCAGGGAGAGGGCAAGTGAGGGGGCTGCTGCCAGGATATATTGTCTGAAAGGAGAACAAATTACATAGAAAAAAAAGTGCCTCCTGCAACTGTGACTTTCTCTGTCCTGTGTCACTTTTAAATAGACCTACTTCCTTCTCTCCTATTTCCTTTCAGGGACCCTCCACAAACCCACCATCAAGGCTGAGTCAGGCACTGTGGTCGCCTCAGGAAGCCCCATGAACATCTCATGTCAGGGGACCCAGGATGCAGAAATGTGCTTTCTGCATAAGGAGGGAAGCCAACAATCCTGGGGTACACAGACCCAAAAGAAGTCTGGAAACAAGTCCACGTTCTCCATTCCTTCTGTTGCAGACTACAGTGGGGGGCAATATCGCTGTTACTGCTACAGCTCAGCAGGCTGGTCAGAGCGCAGTGACACCCTGGATCTGGTGGTGACAGGTGAGGGGACACACAGAGTCTCAGCCCCAGGCTCTGCTCTCAGGAGTGTTCCCTCCCAAAGCCTAGCCCTGGACAGCACTGTGACTGAATGAGCCCATGTAACAGGCTGCTCCTTCTGTCCTAGGACTCTATGACAATAAACCACGCCTGACAG